CTAGTGATTTGATCCTCAGTCACCGGATTGAATAATATGATGCCCCAGATCAGACGTAACATAAATGCAATAATATCCGCGTTAACTTTTAGTTAAATGCCATTAAAATGTATGCTAGTTGAACATGAAACTTCCACGTCCAGAAAGGCGATACTGGCTTGTATTTAGATGTGGCATTTTGATGTTATGTTCGGATGAAGATTATTCAAGCAATCAAATAGTCTCTATCCACACCCATCACCTTTCTCCATCTATGATTCGATTATTTTTGACCATAAATTACTAACCACATAAACTTCACAGATCAATAATAAACACAACGTCTCCTGAACCACTTTGCTGCATCTGTGCACGTGCATACTATAATCTATGTGATCACTATTATATAATTATGTTATTTACTGACCATATATTAATGTGGGTGATGGAGGATTTGGTTAAATTTCAAATGGTAATTCGTCGTGTTTGTAGCAAATGAAGCGTGAACTGAAAAGCTCGATGGATTCGCACTACTGATGAGACCCAACCATGTCGAAACAGCTGTCCAGTGCTTCCGAGCTTTTCAGTTCACCCTTAATATATTAATGATCGCATAGTTTGCAGCATGCGCCCATGTAAAGAAGCAGCCAAATGAGGATCCGGTACACATTGTGCAAATCTGTTTTTTGCTTCTCTATTCAAATTCACGAACGAGAAACTGTGCTTTCAGTTGAGCAATATTAGACTAGAGTATAGTCTACGTTCAGCCCTTGTCGCTGCAGATAATGGAGTCAGTGTTTACCGAAAACTGACAAATTACGAGAAGTGTTATTTGACGCATCAGTTTGATAAATCCCGGACAACAAATCTCAGCATTTCGGCGAAGTTTCGGTATTCATTCCGGTCCACACGATTTCGCTCGGTTACGATGAGGATAGGGATATTATTAAATTGGCGTCAGTACAAAAACAATGATGGCTCAGATGATGATGATGATGATAATAATAACGATGAGGATGATGACCGATGATGATGATGATGATTCGGATGATGATGATGATGATGCGGATGATGATTCTAATGATGATGATGATTCGGATCATGATGATGATGATGATGATGATGATTCGGATGACGATGATGATGATGATGATGATGATGATGATGATGATGATGATGATGATGATGATGATGATTCGGGTGATGATGATGATGAAAATGATG